ACATGTTCTACACATAATAATCTTTCTTCGTTCCAAGTGCGTTTTTACCTTGATATTCGAAGCGTAATAGATAAATTCCATCACTGTGCTCAAAATCAGACTCTCTTACTACCGTTTATTACAGTTCAAAACTCACCTGCTTCAAAACTTGCTGTTTGAAGCAGCAAGTTTTTGCAGTGACTTTCGGAATGTAATTTCCGTCCAAATTTTTAGTATGTCACCTTGATGTATGTGTGAGTAAGAAGTCAGTCTTAGTGTTATACAACACAGCACCACGTATTTACACATGGGTTAACCCATTTTATTTTTACAAACTGTTAAAGATGAATAACGCCGAAGTTAAATCTCTACGTATGCCTAAATAGTTGTGGTGTTTCTACTAAATTGTTTTTCGAAACATTATTTCCGTTTGTCTTATCACTGCAAAAACTTGCTGCTTCAAATGATAATCAACGATATTCACAGCCATATATCTCAAAAACTAAAAGGAATCCTTTTCTAAAAAATAGATTAGTATCGTGTAGAACTTGTGTGTTTTAAACTAGTAGAAGAAATGGGAATGGGACTTTTCTAATTAATGTAATTTTAGTTCGCGAAGTTGGCACAATACAAAATAAGTTGGAATAAATGTGTTTTGATCACCAAAAAAGTGACTTTTGATCACCAAATTTATTAGCAGTGAAATGATCACCAAAAAATAAGACTTTTGATCACCAAATCAATTAAAGAAGTTTTAATTAAAGAAAATATATTCAAGAAGAATATATAGCAATTTAATAGAAAATTAATTAGTGGACAGACAAGAAAAAGAATATAAAGAGAATATATGCAAGAAGAAGTATGAACAGAAATATGAACAAAGTAGAAAAAAACTAATCACCAAACCAATTACCGAAAATTTAAATTAAAGAAGAACAACAAAAATACTAACTTTACAGCAGCAAAGCTGTACGAACCTTTTTTGGACGACCTTTACCTTTTCTCTTACCCAATGGTTCACAACGTGTTTTGTCCGTCACCTGGTACAGGTTGAATACAATACCTAATCCAACTGAATGTTTACAGGTGTATTGCTTGAGACCAATTGGACACGTACACGATGTAAGCGGTGACACTAACCAACATGATGTCTGCCATGCCACAAAATCGTCAAATGATGCCCATTGACCAGAGCGATACAAATCCAACCAAACTGACGGTGTTATTGTTGTCGTGGATGATGGAACAACATAAAATGTATTAAACCAATGCAAAATATCAGATCGATTTATACTTACTGACCATTTGTAAGCATGCAGCTCCATATCAGGAGATATACTTGTAGCAGTAGCAAATGGTGATGAAATACTTGCCTCTGACCAATCTGTTAACATTTGTTCCATTTTTGGTAGAAACGCCGATAGATGTAACTTATTACGGAGTGTATATTTTTGTTTTATAATGGCATTCATCGATTCACAACCGTTATTCGTGGATGGTTTACCAAACGCAGCACCCTCGTACCTAAATGACAGCAACTGGGTTAGTCTTAAGCATACACATTGATTCTTTTCTTACCAATAGGGTAATTTTGTTATCCATTGATCAACAAAGTAATCCGAAAACTTCTTCGTAGCTGGAGTGGCACTCCATTTTTGTATTAGTAAATCTATACCACGATTGAACACATCATCTGAAAAAGAAAGTTGAACGGCATGTATATCTGCATCAATACTTACCCACTGTTCTTTTGTGACTAAATTGCGATGTAGTCGGCATTTTTGGATCATGTGGAACCAGCACATCATACGACGACTGTGTGGAAACACTGTCTGTTGAGAACTTGTGATACCTGAATAATAAACGGAATATGTGTAGATAAAAGAAGATAAAAGATAAAAAATAGTTGTGGCATACCTAATGCTCCATCCGCCATCACGTGATTAATTAAACATGGCTGATTGAATTCTTGCACAGCTAGCGCATTAATTGATGTAAATAATTGGTTATAACATTTGGCATTTTCATCATGAGAAATTAATGCTACACCAAACGGCTTGAAATGACGATTGGCATCCGTTGATCCAAAAACCAAAAGTGGCAATTCATTCCACGTAATTTTGTATGTTGCATCAACTTGCAGATATGTTGTGAGCCGAGTCTGTTGAAATAATTGTTTTGTGGTGAAGAATACGAAAATATTATTTATATCTAAAATAGTATAAAAAGGCACAAAAGTTGAATGTATCTGCTTACCTTCATTATGTTCGTTACACCAGTTTTGTAAATCGTTGTAGGATTGCGTAAACGTGTTGTAGGATTGCGTTCTTCTTGTTCGTGTTCATGTTCGTTTCTGGACATGATTATCACTGATTGTGGATTACTATCCGGCACGGTTGTCTGAATTTCAAAAGAACAAAGCGGATACTTTCTATACTCACTGCATTTGAACGAATATTTTGTATGGTTTTTTAAATCTGATCGACGATATTGGCAAACATTAAAGTGTTTTGCGTATTCTTTTGCTTCTTCGAACGATGTAGTTGTTTGTAATACTTTCCATTCTTGTTTCGACATTTTTGTAATGGTATCGTCTATAGTATAGGGCAGGTATTTATAGCTCTTGTGAGTTGACAATACCAATGAAATTTTAAAAAACTTAACCGTTGACAATACAATTTCGAAAACCGTCAACTGTTGACATATTTCATATATCTTTCATATTTCTGTTCATACTTCTTCTTGCATATATTCTCTTTATATTC